GGCAGTGGATGGAGGGAATAAGATGGTTTGTTCCGGGCTTCTGTACCACAGCAAAGCTGAACTTGTTCCAGCTCATGTGACTACCATCTCCATGAAGATGAGACCATCCAAAACTGGTACAGTCCACTTTGAACATTATAGTGAATCTTTTTATATATTATGTACACTACCAACCAAAGTTCACAAGTTTGGGGTCAGTAAGTTGGTTTCTTGCCAACAGTCTTGCCATATTTATCCATTTTCTTTTGTTGCCCTTTCAGATTCGGCTGTAAATTTCTATGAAGTGAACTACGTTGGTGAATCTGGTGCCGCCCATTCCATGTACGACATAGTTGTAGTTGCCACACCTCTCCACCAGGGCATTTCTGACATCAACTTCTCAGGCTTTTCTCCTCCCATTCCATCCCACTTCCCTGGCCGCTACCACCAAACGGTGGCCACGCTGGTCCACGGTCTGCTCAATGTGTCCTATCTGGGCACCACAGAGAAGCCGGAAGACTTCTTTGTTTCTGACGTCCTCACATTGGACAACAAAGCCTCCGAGATCCACAGCCTGAGCTCTCTGGACCCGGTGAAAATTCCCAAGGGTTACTCCCGCAGCCCTGCCAGTCAACACAAAGTATGGAAGATCTTCTCCTCTCAGCCACTTTCTCAGAAGCATCTGCAGCAAATCTTTCTTTCCTGGGACTCGGTGTCGGAGAAGCGCTGGCTCGCGTACCCCTCCTACAGCCCACCGCACCGCAGGACACCTCCCTTCATCCTCCATGATCACCTCTACTACCTCAACGCCGTGGAGTGGGTGGCCAGTGCCATGGAGATGAGTGCCATTTCCGCCCGTAATCTGGCCCTGCTCGCCCACCACCGCTGGTATGAGCAGACGGGCAAAATCAACCAAGAGGACCTGCACACCAGACTCAGAGGTGAACTTTGACAGATGAGCAGTGCGGTTGATCTGAACTACTTTGGGTTCATAAGTAATAAAATCTTGTACAGAGATGAGAGATTGTATATGTGAAAGGTAGACCTGTGCTCATAGGCGGAGCGTGTGTAAGGCTGGGGAAGGCTTACACTGGGACTTGGGGCCAGGGGAATGCCACTAAATTGGACAAAAATGCCCCTGCACAAACAAATTAAATCTATTACGTCTGTTGCTAACAAAGTGAATATGAATAGACAGTGTCGATTGCGGCATTAAATTAAGATCTGCTCATGTTGCACCGCATTTCATTTTAGGCTTTTTTACAGTGTTGCATATTTTAACCAATCACACAATTCTGTTGAGCTTAGGATTGCAATGGCCAATCAGAAGCGTTCAGATGAGTCATCGTTCAAACTCATCAGTTTTGTTGAGTGCGCGCGCGTTCGCTGACTGAATTCCGGAAAACCACAAAGCGCAGATGTACGTACAATGTAAGTAAGAGATTCATTTAACAGTGTATACAGCTTCAGTGATTATAACAATAGTTCTGTTATTTTGAGAGTACTTAAACTCGCGATAGATCAGTGTTAGTGATGTCACTTTCTATATATAATCTGTTCGCTGTTTGAATAACCGTGGAAAGGATACGTTATATAATTATCAGTTTCTAACGTTTTTATTAAATTGTAATCACGTTAAATACAAATTCATTCCCATTAAACATTTTTTTTAGCCTACATGACACCCATGTCTGGTTCTTGCCTAAAAAGACGGGTTTATTATTGTTTAATACATTTGGCTGCTATTTTACCCTGGATTTGGTTCACCCTCTGCCTATGCCTGTGCTGTGTATATATATATATATTTTTTTGGTTATTACCCTGGTTATTACAATTCAAGCTGAAAACTGACCATCATTTTCAGGGTGTCCGCGGGTCCTTAAAATGTCTTAAATAACGTTTTCCTAATAAAAGGCATTAAAAAGTCTTAAAATGTCTTAAATTCAGATTCGATGGGTCTTAAATATTTTTGGTCACATTACCGCTAAAATATCTTCAGTCTGACGGACCTAATGACTGTTTACAATAATTGGACAGATCGAAGATTTTTTTTCCCCCCGCGGTAAGTTACTGCATCATCAGAGAGAATCGCAGTAGCAGAATACAGGTCGAACTACCTTCTTGTTTTCAATAATAATAATAATAATATAGGTCGAGCTACAGCTGATCAGCCTTCTAGCTTGTTTAAAATGTTTTTTTTTTCTTTCCCGACCGGACAACTAGCCTGATTAAAACACAAGTGTCAAAAAAAATAACCAGCGACGCATCGAAACACGAGAATGATTATAACCAGCGAAGCATCGAAACGCGAGAATGATTCTTCTAATTTTATTAGCCTACATTCAATGTAAACAGTGATTGATAATGGATAGTGTATTTCTGGTATCAAGGTCGCGCTGTTGAGACTTGTGCTGTTTATCTCTGTGTGAGAGACTTCAGAACAAATGAGTGTAACAGCACACATAAAGGAACTCAGAAGAAACACACTGAGGTGAAAATTCAAAATGTTTAGTTTATTCATAACATGATATACCTCACCCTGCTTCATTCTACTACGTTAACAAATCATTAGCTCATCCATGAACATGATTTCTGGAACATGAGTCCCGTCGGATTGCATCGGCTGTGGGGATGAAGACGACAACTCCCATGATTCCACACTCAGTCACAGCGTCATCAAACTACGCCTTTGCCTCTGTTTGTTTTGAATACGCACCCTCCAGCGGCGAAAATTACATATTGTGCCTTTAAGTAACATACTTAACAAGTGAGTTATTTTGCTGAATATTCTCACAACGCAAAAAGCATTCAAAACACCTACAGAGTGCATGCATAAATCAAGTTTCAGTACCAAGCTATCGAAAAAAATAATTTTTTGACATCAATTTTGTACACCTGTTTACAGTTGCAATAAAAGTTAATGTCTTTTAATGTGTAATTAAATGTTTGTGTATAAATAAAAAGAATTCCGTCTTGCTTACCCGTCTGTTCATGGCGCCCCATGTAGGCTTCAAATAGTAAATGGAGGGCTACACAGTGCAGCTTCTCTTTGAGATGTTACTCACCTGGGCTGCGTTTCCCAAAAGCAGCTATGGTCACAAGTTCTGTCGATACCTATAGAGTTCAATGGAGCTTGCGACCATAGTTAGCTAATGATACTTTTGGGAAATGCACCCCTGGTTAGCTTATTCATATTACTGTTCAAAGTGCTAAATATAAAATGGTAAAAGGAGAGGCTTAACCTCTCTAGAGGAACAGTTAATATTTCTCGATGTTTTCCTGTTAAAACAACACATTTTTGTGTATTTTCACAATTACAAAGTGTACACGGTGTAATGTGGCACACAGGTGTTATATATTTATGGAGGAATCACACCAGTGACGGGAAGGTGAGATGATCCTCTGATGCAGCTGTGACAGAATCCTCTTGGTCCAGAGCAGCTTTATCAGGAACCTCTGGGAACGGGGAGGTTGAGAGAGGAGCTCTGGGACTGAAGCAGCTTGGACAGCAGCTCAGGCTGAGGCTCCTTCAGGCAGGGGCGTGTCTACGTGGTGGCACCGCCCCCACCTGAAATTTGGCTGACCACCCCAGGTGCCCCCCCTACCAGATGTCTTGCGATAGGCTCGCGAGAGGACGAATCTCTCCAGGTGCCCCCCCTACCAGATGTCTTGAGATAGGCTCGCGTGAGGACGAATCTCTCCACTCTCACTTGTTTAGTGAGTGTACACGATGTATTATAACATACATCGTTCCGCAAACACAACCTCATCCACCCCCCCGGCCACCCTCTTTTGAGCCAGTGCCCCCGACTGGCCCCCCCATTTAAAATGCTCTAGACACGCCCCTGCCTACAGGGAACACTGGGGTGGCCTTGGCTGGAACTTGGCAAGAATCTCTGCAGCATCATGAGAGGAACCTTTGTGGCAGGCATCTGTGTGACCCAGTCATCAGGAACCTCTGGGATGCTTTGAAACTGGAGCTGCCATGACACACAGCTGTGGAACCAAAGCAGGAACCTTCAGCCCGGGACAAGAAGCTCTGGGAACAGGGTCACTCTAGAAATGTACCCTGTCGAGTAAACTCTGTGATGCCTGTTACTCTGACTCTGTTACATCTTCAATCTTTAGGGTGGCATTCACAGTGATTTCTGGAGTGGCCTTGATGGTATTTTGGGAACCAGTTGCCTGTGGCAGGAACCTCAGTGTGAGGGACCGCTGAGACCAGCAAAGCTGTGAAATGGGATTTTCAAGTCCGGTACCTCTGGCGCCTCAGGTTTTGGAGCAGTAGTTTGTTTATTGTGGCCTTCCCTGGGATTTCTGGAGCGGCCTTGACAGGATCTCTGGTCCCATGGCAGCTGAGAAAAGGAACTCTGTGGCCATGACATGATCTCTGAGAACCGAATGCCAGTGGCAGGGACCACTTTGGCGGTAATGAGAGGAACTTGTGGGCCGGGCTTGACAGGGTGGATGGGAGATGGGGCAGCATACCTCACTTTTCTCCTCCTGGGCTCTGATGGATTTGGGTAAAGAGAGAAACAGGAGTAAAAAAGAGGCAAATTGAAATTAAAGTAACATTCAGGTATAAAACAAGTTAAGCTCTGTCTACAGCATAAAGTCTTGATCACAATTTTATAGTTTATTTTTGCAATTATCACTGGCTGACTATTCATGATTTTCTAGTTTAAATAATATAAAAGAATAACCCTGAATTATAAACGGCACATTTTTGGCAAGTTTGCTGTAATGCACTACTAAACGCAGAAAATAACTTTACACTTGCGTTATAAAATATCTACCATCTTCTATTGTATGGACAGACGTGTAAAGGCGTGTCCACATTTACTGTTGTTAAGTGACTTGACGTGGCCAAAATCCAGTCACATCAACAAGAATCCATGCAATCTGGAATTTCGTTGAATAAGAAAATAAATAAATAAATAAATCTACTTGGTTGGAAAGTGACTTCTGTGTGAGTCTGCTTCATTCATCACTACACTATTCTCCAAAATTTCGCTAATGTGACCCCACCTTAACTCTGAAAATACATCGGTTTTGGAAAAAAAGCTGTGTTTACGGCGATACAGCATTTACCAATGTTCTGCAGTTCACAATTTCATTCATTCATTGGTGATTAATTTGGATTGCATGAATATTATTAGCATGTTAAATATTTTCATTATTGAAAATATGCATAGCAGAAATATTTGAATGATGAATGACCTTTCATACAAGCACTGGGTCAGTGATTATCAGGAAAAACGATATTTTCCAAATTTATTATAATAGATGGAAACAAAACATAAACACAATCAAATCTTTCTTGTGTAGTTACTCCAGGACGCCACAGTGCTTCAGTGATTTTATCATTTCAGTTTTCCTGCATCAGTCCTTCACAACCAGAATCGTTGCGGTATCAACAGTTTCTGTCTTTTATCCCAGAATGAGACATTATTTATATCCAGTTTCAGACGCAGTGTTTCCTTCCAAAGTCAGCTCTTTAGTCTCAGGGGTCACACTGTCTGCTGTGCTCTGTGTCTTTGATAAACTCCCATAAATCGCCATGGCCTGAAGACAGAAGAGAACAATGAGGTATACATGCCAACTAGGGACATGGTTGTTATTATTAGGGAATATTATGTGCCATATATATGAATGAAGCCACACCTGAGTGACCATGCTGCTGATGTCTCCTGTGTTCGAGGGCAGTAAGATGGTGTTGGACTCCTTGGCCAGGTTGGAGAAAGCAGAGACGTACTGTTCAGCCACAGTTAAAGATGCTGCAGCGTTTCCATTCTGTACAGATACAGTTATGAAAGGTCAGTAAGATAGATGTAAAACAGCCTGAACTCTCAGGTGTAATATCAGTTTACACACAAGATTGATAGTGTGGTGATGTATAAGTGTGATATAAGGCTCTTCATAAACTGAATCAGATTTACCAATCGAGTGAGCGCCTCGGAGAGCAGCCGGATAGCTTTAGCCTTTGCCTCAGCTTTAGCCAAAACAGCATTTGCTTCACCTGTACAGGGGGAAAATATAATTAATTTTAACCATTTAATTTAAATATCATTAATAGTCATTTTACTATAATTTATAACAAATTTAATTACTTGTTTGCTATTATTTATCATTATAATAATTATTTATAATTTTATTATAAATAATTTTAACATCCAATATCAACATAAACAATTATTTTTTGTTTATTATTTGTATATTTGTTGAGTATTATTATATTTATATTCATTATTAATAACAATTAAATCTAAAATAACAAATGTGTTTTTATTGTTATTATTAATAACAATCTTTTTTTTTTTTCATTTTAATTTTAGCTGAAGTTTTAGCAATTTTGTTATGTGTTTTATGTCATTTTTAAAGGTTTTTATGCCTATATAGTTTTAAGTTTTAGTTAATTTAGTACTTCAACTTATATATACTAAATAAAAATGTTGCCTTGACAACTAGCTGAAATAAAATGTTTTATTTTTACTTTAATTTTATTAATAATATTACTTTATAAATAACAGTTCATATTTATTTTATTTTAAGTAATGAAATTATTGTATGGTTTTATTTTACGTTAAGAATAATAATAACCCTGGTGACATCAGCCAAAAAGGAAATGCAGTTGCATGAATCGTTTACAAGACTGATTTGACTTTAATACCAACAACAAAATTTTATTCTACTACTAACATTAATCGAACCCCAGATGTTCAGTAAAAAACCCCACCAGCAGCTCTGTTAATCTGTTCAGCCTTCTCTCCCTCAGACGCCAGAATCTGAGCTTGTTTGCGACCCTCGGCCACATTGATGGCCGCCTCCCTCGTCCCCTCTGACTCCAGAACGGTGGCTCTCTTCTTCCGCTCGGCTTCCACCTGACCGTGATTCATGTTATACGAGTCATATGACTGACAGGTGATCATTTAAGTCTTTTTGGTCTGTAAGATTAAGTTGAAGAGTAAATCGTCACACCTGCATTTGCATAGACTCTTTAACCCGTGGAGGAACGTGAATGTCTTTGATCTCGTATCGAAGACATCGAATCCCCCAATCATCTGAGGCCTGGTTTATCGAGTGGACAATATTGGAATTCAAAGACTCTCTTTCCTGTCGAACGACAAACAGTGATCCTTAAGCACACAAATGAATGGTGAATACGATATTGTGTAAATCACTAAGAGATTGTCTGGCATTCATACTCTAAACACTTTGTCCAGGGTCAGTTTTCCCAGCTCTGATCTCATGGTGGTCTGTGCCAGCTGGGTGACGGCATATTCTGGGTTCTCCACTCCATAACTGGCCTTCAGAGGAGAACAAAAGTCCATTACGAGAGGAAAAGCCTAAAGAAATACTGGCAGAAAGCAGAAAAGTACTTACCTTAAACGGGTCGAGTATCCTGAGATATAAAACTCCATCTATCTGCAATGTCACATTGTCTACAAGCAAAACAACACGATTTGATTCACTTCAAAAATCTATAAAAGTAGGAGTGGAAAAAGATCACAATGGCTGTAACATACCGAGGGAAACTGCTGACTGCTCTGGCACATCTATCACTATCTCTTTGAGACTTTGAACATATTTAACTCGGTCCAAGATTGGAATTAAGAAGTTTAGACCCTGCAGGAAACCAAAAATTTTTTATTTTGATGCCTGGAAATGATTCAAATACATTGAAGATATTCATAATGATAACTCACTGGTTCCAGGATTCGGTGGAAACGGCCCATCCTCTCCACTACCCAAGCTTCCTGCTGGGGTACGAACAGAACCACGGTGTTCATAGGGAGGCTGGAAGCCCATCGCTGCTGAACTCGGCTCCCCCACGACGCAGGCACGGTTTGCCACGAATGCTAGTGTACACAGAAGAGACAGAATTAGATAATTTTTTTAATAATAAAGTATAATATAAATAATAATTCCTATACTAATTGATATAATATTTTGTGTAACAATTATTTGTATTATATTTATTTATGAATAAATGTAACAATTAATAAGAGTAATAAAAATTTTTGTTTAAACAAATAAAACAGTTACACATTATACAAAAATACATAGAATTTAACACACATAATTTATTATTTATGAAAATGCATTTAGTCCAGTCTTTGAGCACTTTGTGGTGTAAATGTACAACCCATTCTTTTAGTACTACTAAGTACTATAATTTATTTATTTTTTTTTAAATATGTCTACATCTTTTTTTTATTATGTTTTAATGTTTAGTTTTATTTTAGTACTTAATCTATTTAATCTAAATGAAAATGAGAAATGTTGCTTTGGCAACTAACTGAAATAAAATGATATTTTTTAAAACTTAAATTTGAATGTAATTCATTTCAATTCTATTTTATTTCAGTTAATATTTATTTTATTTCAAGTAATAAAAGTAAAAAAAAAAAGTTTTATATGATTTTAGTTTTCGTTAACAAAAACGGAAGTTCAGTTCAGAGGTGAGGCAAGTTATTGAATTAATAATTCACAATAAGACTTTTTAACATTTTGGGTCAATTTTGATTTTAGATTTGGCTTTAATGCCCTTAAAGTATTAGTTTCTGGTAGTAGTACCAGACAAGTACTACTTCTTGTGCTGAATTTGTTGTTCTGTCAATCAAGATAAATTCCACTGTCTCTGCAACGGCAAAAAAAAAAAAAAGTCATTCTGACCTCTAACAAACAAGCAATAAATAAATAATTTGATTATTAATTAAATTATCTTTCAAGTAAACGTGTGAGCAAAATCATTTATATTCATTTGATTTCGAAGTGAACTTTAATAATTATTCACATTTGTCAAGCAGTGCTGTAGTCCACAGAGCTACACGTGTGTTACCTTTAAAAGGCCGCTCCCCGCCCGACACACCCCCGTCCTGAGCATGGTCAGCCTGTATGAAACCAGATGCTAAAGATGCCTGAAACAAATACATTAATTCTTCTCGCGCTTACAGTACAAACGTGACCCTCTTACAGCCGCGGAAATCAAGTTACAACATCTCCAGCGTGCGCCAATGACAAACCTCCGGCTCCGAGTCTGCGAGGGAAACAAATGCTTTTATTATTTGGTTCCGGGAATACATCAACCGCCTGTTACTGAAAGCTGAGTGTGAAATATTGCAAATAAAATTATAGCATTGTTAGAAAAATGATAACAAGTACTAGACTTTCATAGATCCTGTAGTACTGCATACATTTTTTTTTCATAAGTGAGTAGAAATGATAGTTTGTAGTGATGAATGTGCAGCTTACGTCCAAGGTTGTTATTAACTAAAACTAAAACTATTACAATTCGTTTTCATAATTGAAATGAAGATAAGATAAAATAAAATATAAAGATTTGACAAAAAGTATAAAAAAAAATTACAATTGTAATAATAAAAAAATTGTACTACTAAAACTAAAACTGATAAATAAAGCTAAATTGAAATATATATATTAAAAATGACAAAAGCACAAAATTACTAAAACTTGAAAACTGAAAATATAAAAATAAAATCTAATTTGAAATATTAATAAATAAAATAATAGTACACTATATAATTATATAATAGTGTACACGTGATATTAAAATAACAGTGTGTTCGCAGTCACAATGCTCTCCATTCACAATGGAGATTTGCTAGAATAATGCATTATAAATAAAATAATGCAAATTAAAATAAAAACGTGATTTTTTCTTTCTTTCATAAATTCATATATTTTATTGGCTTGACACCTGGGTCAGATTTGAAAAAGGCTCACAGGTGACTGCAGTTTTATTTATTTATTTATTTATTTATTTAGCACAATAGGATGGCAAATAACAGACATATTCACTTTATTAGTGTTTGACTTAAAGGGGTCATATGATGCTGCTAAAAAGAACATTATTTTGTGTATTTGGTGTAATGAAATGTGTTTATGCGGTTTAAAGTAAAAAAAACACATTATTTTTCACATACTGTACATTATTGTTTCTCCTCTATGCCCCGCCTTTTTGAAACGCGTCGATTTTTATACATTTGTACTATTATGTTTACAAAAATAAAACAGAAAAGAACAAAAAAAGGTAAACAACTACAAAAATAAATAAATAAAAAGTGCTGGGGGTAATAAAATAAAATCAGAAAAAGGGTACAATCAGGTATAAAAATATCAAATACGTTTCTTTGAAATCACACACTTTTAAGTCTATCTATAGGCTATAGACTTTTAGACTATAAAGATTTTTCATCCAGAGTCTCTAATACTGTCTATGCACAGCCTTACTTCAGTCAACAAAACCATAAAGTGGGCTTTTAAAAAAAAATATAAATTGCATTTATGAATGTGAAATTTGGTCAAAATATAATTGTTTAAATAAAATCACTTTTTATCCTCTTTAGAATATTCAGTGAAGCCAAAAAGTAAATTTTCCCATAAAACTGAGAGAGGTCTTGAGTACTGAATATTTTCATTGATACATTTCTGTATCTGTATCAATGCCAAAATATTTCTCAAAGTTTTCTCAGCACTCGTGTTAGCGTCACACCTGTTGTAGTCATAAACCACACCCATTAGCTCACCCATTGGTCAACAGTCCAGCAAAGCCCGCCCTCTGGGTTAGGGGCAATTCAGGCGTCATTAAAATCCCTGCAAGTCCCGCCTCTTCTTCTGTGAGTTTCTGCACATACAGGTTGGTGTTGGCGATCTGAATCAGTACGCGCCACCTGTGGGAAAGTGCTGAGTTACTCCGTCGAGCATCCGTGCCCTCAGTAGTGCGCTCATGGCCAGGAACTAACTTGTGTCATGTTTGAAATGTCACCGGACAGCTGAGAACTTAGATTATAGTGACAGGATTTAACCAAGAGGAAAAACTTCGGTTGCCATGTCTCTCCTTTGCGTGAGAGGTGCGTGCTGTTTTAAATATGTTTTCTGACTCGCTGTGTGTGTTTGCACCTGTCTGCATGCAATCAGCAGCTGTTCTGTTTCTTGAAAAGTTCAGACGCGAGAGCGTTTTTTGTGAACTATAAACATCTCTTTAACTTACTTTCTCTGCTGTTTTCATGGAATAATATAAACGTTTATTACAGTTAAGTGCTGACGATGCTGCCAAGTTAAGATGCTGTAATGATCAAACAGGCTGAAATATTATATAATTTGAGGTTTGCTATAGGGATAGTATAGTGTGAGGGAAGCAGCTGTTTGGCGTCGTGATGTAATACAGCTTTACAGCCCAAACGAGACAGTGCAACAGTAAATAGGCTATATATTTTTAAAATTATTGTGAGGTTTAAAAAAACAAAAGTAATATTTCTTAATATTATATAAAGTTTTTTAATATGAAAAAAAAAAACAATTTGGTGTTGGCGTTATTCAGAACATTACTAAATACAATTTACTAGCAAATAAGGGAAATAAAGAATGTATTTGATTTATTGCAAAAATGTGTTGCTGAAACTCGGAGTGTGATTTGGTTTAAAAATACTAAATGTATGATAGGAAATCTGTATCATTTTATGCAAAGTTATATAGTGTGTATAGTTATGTGTGTGTGTGTGTATACAAATTCTAACATTTCAAATATTGAGTTATGTAAATATATATTTATGTAAATTAAATATTGCATATATATGCATGCAAATATATATTATTTTCTTTATATCTTTTAATATATTTAGTTCAATTCTGTAGATTCCTTATGAAATTATTTAATTAGTATTTAAGTAATTATTATGTACACATTTAATTAATTAGTGTGTGTGTGTGTGTATATATATATATATATTTAAATATGTAAAATTAAAATGTAATTATTTTTATTAACAATTTACAAACACACAAATAAACACTAATTATATAAAGTTCTAAATAATGTAAATATTTAATAGATAATGCTTATTGAATATTTTAAATTCTATATTTTTGTGATGTAACTGAGTTATTATCATGCTGTAGTTTATAAATAAGGCTGGCTCATCAGGCCCTCTTGAAGGAAAGCAGATCAAAAGCGTGTGCTCTCATACTCCTTCAGAGATGCACATATTCCTTTTATCTTTGGTCACTGGCCAGTTGCAGATCAACATCTCCATAATTTCCTCTGTTTTTTTATCTACGCTCAATCTGCTCCAGTGGCAATGCTTACTTTGCTGATTGCTGTCTTCGGTGAAAGTGTCTCTGCTTAATGTCCACACAATATATCTTGAAGGCTGAGTGGGGTGAATGTGGGGGTGGGACGGGGTCCGTACACTGACTGCTCATCCACATCTATGAAGAGGTGCAGGCTAATGTGATTTAAACAGTGACTGGGCTGTTTTGAAACCAACTGAATGAGTCTTTAAAAAGAAGCAAGTACATTTTAAAATGGGACTAAATCTTATGTGGAAGCGTTTCAGTTTGAAGGAAGTTTTAAAGGAGTGGCGTGGTGTTTGATTTGATTTAGGTGCCACTGCAGGATTTACTGGCAGCAGACATTCCTTCCTTGTTAAAAGGAAACCATACAAGCCTTTTACTACCCTGTCCCCAACAGCTCCTTTCCTCAGGAACTTGTGTTGGTATACAGTCACTTATTTGAGGATATGCAAGTAAAGCAGAAAGAATCAGTGGAGATGAGCAGATTTGCACAGATACAAACACTTGCTTAAGAAACACATTCACTGAGGACCTCCAAACAAGTCAATTATTCAGAGAGACAAAGGAAATGTTTGTGCAGGAACCGGACAGTGATTAAACTCCTCAGCGTGTCTCACAAGAGCTTTTATTTCTTTGGTTTAAGGTTTAAAAGGTCACAGCTCTTTTCTCATCACACTTGCAGTATCCTCAGATTTCACAAATTACACCTTTCACTCGCACGAAATGTGCTTGCAGTTGAAGTTTGGCTTTGTTGGTGGATCACCAGTTAGAATCCTTGTAGAAGTCTTTCTGCATGTTTTCGATTGCGATGTAGTTTCTTCATTGTCCTTCCTTAAACTTAACTGGAACAGGAGGATTTGAGTATTTGGAAGCACAAACAGAATTTACAATAATGTGACCGTGGACCACAAAACCAGTCTTAAGTCGCTGGGGTATATTTGTAGCAATAGCCAAAAATACATTGTATGGGTCAAAATTATCGATTTTTCTTTTATGCCAAAAATCATTAGGATATTAAGTAAAGATCACGTTCCATGAAGATATTTTGTAAATTTCCTACTGTAAATATATCAAAACTTAATTTTTGATTAGTAATTTGCATTAAGAACTTCATTTGGACAACTTTAAAGGCGATTTTCTCAATATTTTGATTTTTTTTTGCACCCTCATATTCCAGATTTTCAAATAGTTGTATCTCGGTTAAATATTGTCCTATCCTAACAAACCATACTTCAATGGAAAGCTTATTTATTCAGCTTTCAGATTATGTATAAATCTCAATTTAGAAAAATTGACTCTTAAGACTGGTTTTGTGGTCCAGGGTCACATATGTGTCCAGCAGAGAAATATGCTATGTAATACAACTGCAAAAAGAAGAAAAAATCTTGAGAAAAAAAAAAGATAATATAATTTATTATCATGAAAGAAAAGTATTATGCAAAAGTCTCTTTTGGTCATTAAAGCTGCATTTATTTGATCAAAAAATACAGTGAAAACCGTAATGTGAAATTTTAAATGTTTTTTTTCCCTCTATTTGAATATAACTTAAAATGTAATTTATTCCTGTGATGCAAAGCTGTATTTTCAGCATCATTACTCCAGTTTTCAGTGTCACATGATCCTTCAGAAATCATTCTAATATTCTGATTTGCTGCTAAAAAAAAACATTTATTATAATTATCATTTTTAAAAACAGTTGTGCTGCTTTACTGTCACTTTTGATGAATCCAATGTGTCCATGCTGAATAAAAGTATTAATTTATTTAAAAAAATCTTACTGACCTTAAACATTTGAATGATATTCCAAATCGATATATCAGTGTTGTAATGTTACGATACTAAACATACTACAACATACTAAATTAACTTTTATTACAAAACGTATTATAGAAATATTATCACAAGAATATAATGGTTTTTAGTATAACAAATGACATTTTAGTG